GTGAGCGCCGCTGGGCCCGCCTGGGGGCCTCCCGCCGCTTCCTGTGTCTGGCATGCTTCCCTGCATTCCTCCAGGCCCTGCTACCGCCCGGACAATCGCTGCAGCAGAAACCCAGCGTCTCCCTCCGTCTAGCCTGGAGGTGTTCAGTCTCCTTGGCGCACCTCCTTAGCCACGCGTCCCCTCTCCAACTTTTACCATGACCCTTAGTTTCTCCAGGGGAGACCAGAACTGCCTTCCTTTATATTGTCCTCTTTACGCTTTCTTCCACCCCCCCCACTAGGCTGTTCAAATTGTCCTTCAACTTGCTGTGTAGCCCAGGCTTTTTTTTTTTTTTTTTTTGTTTTTGTTTTTTGAGACGGGCTCTCACTATGTAGTTGAGACTGACCTGGAACTCGCCATATAGCCCAGGTTGGTCTCGAACTCACAGCGATCCTCCTGCCTCATCCTCCCAAGTGCTGGGATTACAGGCGTGCGCCACCACACCTGGCCACCTCTTTGTGTTCTTCCAGAGAACTTTTTACAACTTTATAATTCTTCTGTAACTCGCTTTCTAAAACCTTGGTATTTTTAAATAATGAGGTTCAGAGGAAGCTGCGGAGAAATGCCTGGTGGGCCTGTGGGCCTGTGAGCTTTCTTGCATGGCCACCAGAAGGCCACAGTCATCGGCAGAGCCCTCCCCATGGCTTTGTATTTAGGGGGATTTAAAGAGGCTGAGGCTGGAGGTCGCGCTGGGGGTGTTCATGCCTGGCTTCCAGTCACTCGGAGCAGACGGCAGAGGACCCGTGTCTGTGTGGCCTGATTTTGTGCAACTATGTATGATCAGCCAAGTATGCCACTTTTTACCTCCTGTGAGCTCTGCCCGGAAAACCCAGCTCCGATTCATCCTCTGCAGCGGAAGGAGTGGAGTAGAGCACGGAAGAGGGCCGGGCAGTTGCTCCCCAGTCCCCTGCACACCTGCCTCTGGGGTCCCGAGGTTCTGGCTGGGGGTTGCTTTCCTAGTCTGCCAGGTCAATCCCGTGAGTCTGCTTGCTGCCCAGCTTCTGTCTCCTTCCCCGGCTGTCATTTCAGAGCCCCCTGGAGACAGTGCTCCCCTACTATACGAGTCTAGAACCCCCCAACCTGGCATTCAAGGACTGTTAGGAGCAGACCCTGGCAGACCACCTGGTCCCGGCCCTCGGGGAGGCCTCACCACCTTGATTGAGCTGCTTTGGGCTCTCCAGGAATGTTCGCCTCCTGCACCCCATAATTTTTTAAATCTCTTTTAGACCTTATTCATGTATCTCGGGGATTATTTCCCAACAGCTCCAGGGTATCGGGAAACTGAGAAGTCGGCCAGCCTGTGAAAGGGGTTCAGTGATGTGGCTTAGCCTGCGTCTTGCCATTAGGTGGCACTGTGCGGTTACGGACAGTGGGCGGGGCTTCCCAGCGAACACTGCTTTCGTTCGAAGCTGTATTTATCCTTTGAATCCTACCACGCAGCAAACTTTGAATCCTACAGTATAGCGAGGTAGCCCGTAGGCAGCGGGAGGACCCTCACCGCCTCCCTCCGTGTTCAGTGATGTTCCCATGCGGGAGGATACAGAAGCAGACGCAGAAGAAGCGAAGTAACTTCAAACGGGACACGGACCAAGTAGAGCAAGAAGAGGTGGACGACCAGTTAGACCCCAGGATTGTCAACGGGACTGAGACCAGACAGGGAGAGAGTCCCTGGCAGGTGGGCAGAAAGGCAGAGCCGCCGAGGGTCCCAGATCCCTCCTGGGAGTTCCCACTCGCAGATGCAGAGCGGAGGGAAGTACCTCGCAGATGGGGCCACTGGGGGCATGAGGAGGGCAGACCAGGGAGACGGGGGTCACCCCAGCAGGGCAGGGACAGCAGGCGGGTGGGCGGGCTGTGGGCTGTGCAGGGGCCATGCAAGGGTTGCACTTTTAGAAGGGCTGGAGAGGCAGGCGTGGCCAGGGCACCCAGAGACGTGCCTGAGAACGGTGCCCAGGCCTGCGCAGGAGCTGTCGGAGCAGCCCTGTGATGCCACTGTCACACCGCATCCCAGGTGATCCTGCTGGACTCCAAGAGGAAGCTGGCCTGCGGTGGGGTGCTCATCCACGCCTCCTGGGTGCTGACTGCGGCCCACTGCATGGACGGATCCAGGAAGCTCACTGTCAGGCTTGGTGTGTGGTGCGGCCCGGCAGCTGTCGGGTTTGAGAGACTGGTCCTGGGGACCTGGGCTCCGCACTGCGATTCAGGAAAACAGGCCTTGGGGCCTGTGAGCCCGGCGGGGAGGGACTGTCTGGTGCCCACTGCAGACTGGGCATGGGTGTGAAAGACGAGGTTCCACCCACACATCCTGGGTGCCTTACTCACACTTGGATGCAGACTCGGCTCACTGTGGTGCTGCTTTCCCCAGCAGCCTGGGAGCTGCAAGGTTGATGGCCCCACACTCTGACAGTTTCTGGAGGGAAGTCTCATTAGACACTACATGCAAAAAAAGGATGGGACAGGGGAACTAAGAATATCCAAATTCATGCTTATTAGAATTATTTTCGGGCCAGGTGTGGGGGTGCACACCTGTAATCCCAGCACTTGGGAGGCTGAGGCAGGAGGATCGCTGTGAGTTCGAGAGTAGCCTGGGCTACATAGTGAGTTCCAGGTCAGTCTCAACTACATAGTGAGACACTGCCTCAAAAAAAATTATTTTTGGGCATGGGATTGCCACCTTCTTTCCAGGTTGGAAAGGGAAGTTCTACTGTTCCTTCCTTGGCTAGAGGGCACCCGACAGTTCTTCCCCTTCTGTGCCCTGTCCTGTTGGTCCTCCTCTGTGGGTCTTGCTACTCCTGCCTTTGTCGATCCACATGTCCAAGGGGGCTTCCCTGGTCTCACTGCCGCCCGAGTCCTGAAACCGGACCAGCATCCTGTCCCTTTGAGATCAACACCATAGGCGACTCCCTCTGTCAGGACAGTTGCTTGTGATAAGAATCCAGAGCACAGGGGAGGCTCGGGAATGCCGTCCGGTCATGGGCCAGTCCCCGCCTGCAGGAGGGAAGCAGCCCGATACCTCTGGCCAGGCCGCACTGACGGTGCCCTCCGCCCTGCAGGTGAGTACGACCTGAGGCGCAGAGACAAGGGGGAAGTGGACCTGGCCATCAAGAAGATCTTCATCCACCCCAACTACACGCGCAGAACCACCAACAACGACATTGCGCTGCTGCGCCTGGAGCAGCCCACCGTCCTCTCTAAGACGATCGTGCCCATCTGCCTCCCAGACAGCGGCCTTGCAGAGCGAGAGCTCACCCAGGCCGGCCAGGAGACGATCGTGACGGGCTGGGGCTACCAGTCTGAGCGGAAGGGGGACGCCAAGAGGAGCCCCACCTTCATCCTGAACTTCATCAGGATTCCCGTGGCCCCTCGCAATGAGTGCGTCCAGGTCATGAAGAACGTGGTCTCTGAGAACATGCTGTGTGCAGGCGTCCTTGGGGACCCCCGGGATGCCTGCGATGGTGACAGTGGGGGGCCCATGGTTGCCTCCTTCCAAGGCACCTGGTTCCTGGTGGGCCTGGTGAGCTGGGGCGAGGGCTGTGGGCTGCCTAACAACTATGGCATCTACACCAAAGTCAGCCACTACCTCGACTGGATCCACAGCCACATCGGGAATAAGGCTCCCCCTGGCCACATGCCATAGCCCCCTGCTCATCTCTGTCCCCCGAGGCCTCTTGTGTGGGGCTGGGCGGCCGCTGGCAGTATATGGGGTATTAAAGCAGCATGCAGTGAGCACAGGCCTGCAGGTGCATCTGTGTGCCGCCATCTCCAAACTTTCTTTACCGAAGTAACGTTTGCCGAGCACCTACTATAAACCACACGCTTTAGGAACCAAATCTTATTTAACTCCCAAAGCAATACTGCAGGGCCGGGAAGAGCGGCTCCAAGTCTTGTGGAGACTAAAGCTGATTCGGCAGGAGGATGTGTGTGCTGTCTTCTGAGAAAGAATAGGAAATGTAGGCCAAGAGCTGCTGGAGCCCTCCCCGGGGCCTTGGGAGGAGCCACTGCAAGTTGTGGGTCCTGAAGCTGGAGCTTGACTCGCCACAATGAGCTCAGTGGAGAACGCGCACAAGACTCGGGAAGGCTGGGTGGGTGCAGGATGTGAGTGGAGGCCTCACTCCAAAACCAGGGGCTTTTCTTGGTTCTCCACTGTTCTCTGAAAGTGGCTGTTTTGATACCCGTTAGGTGGGAAAGGAGCCAGAGGCCCATAAGGTAGTATTTAGAATTAATTCACAATTTAATTGAGGTAATTAATTCAAGAAGACTGGTATAAGGAGGGCTAGGACAGGCGCCTGTGGCCCCACCACTGTGGAAGCTGAGACGGGAGGCTGTGGAGTCCAAGAGCTGGGGGACAGCCTGGACAGCACAGTAAAACCCTGCCTTCGAGTGGGGAGAAGGAGGGAAGTTAAGTAATCACGCAGAAGGCTCTGCCTTGTCCTTACAGGCATATTGGGTGAGGCAGAGAAATAAATCGGGGTGTCCTGGTTTGAAATCATTAGTAACCAAGGCAAGAAAGGCTAGAAAATCAGTCCAAAGGTGAAAACTAGTGGAGCTGTCTAAATAGCCTCACGCAGGTCGTTTCTCTCTGCTTGCGATGGTTCTTTAAAGAAACGTCAAATGGATGGGGTATTCCCTCATCTTTGTTTCTGGAGGCAAGCTAACTTTCTAAAGAAAAGGTCTTTTCACAGCCTGGGCTACATAGTGAGTTCCAGGTCAGTCTCAAGTACATAGTGAGACCCTGTCTGAACAACAACAAACAAACAAAGGAAAAGGTCTCTTCACTGCAGGCTGAAGGTTGAGCATCCAAGACTGGGAAGCGCCCTGGTTTGGCCTCTGGTGAGGGCCCTGGGGCAGAAGGCGTCCTGGTAGGAGCACATGTGAGAGTGGAGTCGCTGTCAGAGCAAGAGGCTCCTGGTTTGCACTCACCACAGTCAGGACGGCACAGGGCCAAGAGAACCACCTGGGCCTTCCAAGGGCAGCACCCCAACAGCCAGAAACCCTCCCTCAGGCTCCCCTTTCAATGGTGTCACATCATCTCCCAGCAAGCAGAAAAGTGGGCAATTCAAATTAAAGATAAAAGGAGCCCAAAGAGAGGTGAGTGAGTAGGAACTATTTTTATTATAGGCCAATAATTTGGAAAACCAGATGAAATAAATACACTCCAGACAAATACAAAATATCCACTGTAATGACAGTAAAAGCCTGTTCCTCTCAAAAGCCTTGGCCTCTTGAGTTTTGTGAGAGTTCTATCAAACTCAGTTCTCATCTTAAACAAGTTTCCCCGTAAAAGGGAAAAGAAGGAAAACCACCCAGCTTGGTCTCTGTGTCGCACCACATAGCCAGACTGCTGCCTGGTCAGGCAGGCTGGACAAAGATTCTGCCTTTCCTGGAGAGTGGGGGCCCTCAATATCCCACGTGCCATAGCATGGCCAAACTCAAAGTCTCTTAGATGTTCTCCCGTACATGCTATGGTTTAGCTCTCAAAATTAGGTCTATGCTTCGAGTTTTTTTGTATATGGTGTGAGCTAACATCAGACTTTATTTGGGTGGTTGGAAGATCAAAATCTGGAACGTTTTCGCCTCAGTTTGGTATAGTTCTGCTCTGTGCTGTACATAAGTTTATATTTGTGTGGTCTTCCCCAGGGACTTCTTAGTGTAGGTAGTGGTAAAACCAATGCCTGAGTGACCCTGCACCACTTGAACTGATTTTTGAAGTTGGAGGTGCCGAGGTGGCCCCAAGATGGAGGCCAGCTCATGCCCTGGCTCTTCCACGTGCTTGTGGCCGATTCTCAGCAGAATGCCCCCAGGGAGAGGAGGCAGGAGCTCTAACTCCCAGGAAGTGGAGTTCAGGGAAAGCCCTTGCGGAAGGGGACTCCAGAAGAGAGGGCAGCATACTACCACCTTGAGAGCCACGATGTGCAAGATTTACACCCTTTGCTAAGAACATCACAAAGTAATACAAAGAGAAAAGGTAAGGGGTGGGGACCAAGAGGGAGACGCTGGTTCTTGCTTGGAAGAAGAAATGTGTCCTCTCTTTGAGTCCTGGTCTCTCCTAAACCAGGAACCAAGAAAACAAACTGATGACGACGACAACACAACAACAACACAACCAGGGCTGTCTAGCATACAGAGCACATCTGCTGGGCTATGCCTAACAGGGACTGAAATCCAGCAGTCAGCTGCCACAGTATGGGATGGAAAATTGTGTCTCTACAAAAGGACCGCACACAACTGGTAAGGAAAGTGGGAAGGATGCTTAAAAGAGGCTTTGGAATCACAGACACCTTGATGATGAAAATTTTTGTAGCTGGGGGAGGGTACTGTTCATCCTGAACTGGGCCTCATACACACCCGGGCAGACCATTGAGTGGAATGTCAGCCAAGGCCAACGATCCCCGGGTCAGCTGGGGTGTTGGGGGAGGCTTATCAGACTACAGACTGAGCAGCAAGATCTGGAAAGGGGGTCCTAACTCCACCCAGCTGTTTCTTAGGGAACCTCTGACAAAGTCCTGTTTACTAGCAATTATGGCTAATGCTAAAACAATTCAAGAGATACCACTGCTCTGGATTTAATGAAAACATGTAAAACACAAACTCAGAACCAATCTGCTGCCTACTCATTCTATAAACAATACCTCACTTGGTTTAAATCAAAATTATTATCAACGGAGAGGCTGTCTTGCTTCCAAACAAACTACTTACAGCGAGACCCCTACTAAAATGTGAACTGCTACTTAAGTATGAACCGTGAGGCCGTATGGAATCCCAAAGGTAAGCTGGAGCCATTTACAACACTCACTGGGGATAAACTACAATCCTTAGTGGGTATTTCTGGAAGCAGCCCCATCTTGGCATCTGAGCTACACCTACAAGAATCAGGTGATCAGAGAAGTCCAACCTTTCTAGCAGACAGTGCTCTTTTACTACATTAACAATAGTTTAGGCTCAAAAAACAAGAAAAAACAACCATTGCCAACACACACACACACACACACACACACACACACACACACACTACAACAGTGGATGCCAAAATCTGCCAAATACTAAGAAACACTCATATTTTAAAAGAACTCCTCCCCAAGAAGGGAGCTGTCTTGGGTTAACTAAAGGAGTAACCATCTACTTATCTGCTATTATTGGCCCAGTTTTACTAAAAGATACTTCTTCCTGGCACACTCAGGGGCAGGAGAGGGCATGAAATTGAAAGGGGGGGAGGGAGAGGGAGGGAGGGAGGGAAGGAAGGAAGGAAAGAGAAAAAGAGAAAGCAAGCACGCAGAGGGAGGAAAGCGAGGGGAGGGGACGGGAGGGCAGGGGCGTGGTTCAGCTGGGTAGAGGGTGGAGCACGCCGCGGACTGGAAAAGATGTGGACAGAGCTATGCAAGACGCAGGCTCTGCCTGTTTTGTTGCTTGTGTGCACTCTGATCAATTCCCACAGACCTGGCTCCCGAGGAAGCTTTCTAGCGGCAGAAGCCATTGTCCTTGGATGGAGCTGCTGGAACAGAGAAGCTTGGCTTTGTTCTCTCTCCTTTTCCCTGCTTGCCTTCCTCCCTTCTTTCCTTCTATTGAGTGACTCAGTTTGTAGGAATGTAAGGCTAAAACTTCTTGGTAAACTTGCCTATGCAGAGCTCAACAGCAGATTTGAACTGGCAGATTAAAAACAAAAATCAGTGAACACGAAGATAGGTCAATTGGGATTAGCCAGTCTGATTACAGAAAGAAAAAGTGAAGATTAATAAACTGAGCCTTACAGCTGGGCATGGTGGTGCACACCTATAATCCTAGCACTAAGGAGGCTGAGGCAGGAGGATGGCTGCAAATTCGAGGCCAGCCTGAACTACACAGTGAGTTCATGTCTCAAAAAACAAACAAAAAAAATGCTGAGCCTTAGAGACCTGTTAGAGAGCATCACATCTATCAAATGTTCATAATAAAGGCCAAGAATGAGAGGAGAAATGAGAGAGAATATTTGAAGAAACAACATCCAAATATCTCCCAAATTTGATGAAAAACATTAATCTGCACATCAAAAAATCCCAGTACACTCCACGTAGATTAAATTCAAGAAGATCTATACCTAGACACACGGTTAAATTGTCAAAAGCCAATGAAGAGGAGAGAAAATGAATCTTGAAAATACCAAGACATTTAAGGAAGAATTAAACTCCCAACTCATTCTAGGGAGCCAATATACAGCCTGATGTCAAAAGCAAAGACTTCCAAGAAAACTCCAGATCAATATCCCATATAAATATAGATGAAAAGCTCCTTAACAGAGTATCCGAAATGCCGTTCCAGCAAATGACAAAGTGATCTTAAAATTTATATGGAACTTCAAGGGACTGAATGGCTGAAACAGTTTTGAAGAGGTGAAGGATCCACATTTTCTGATTTCCAGTTTTGCTACAAGCTACACTCATCACTTGTCTGGCAAGCACACAGCCTTGGGCTCAATCCCCAGTGCCCCACACACCCACCCACTCCCAAAAAGGCAGCGTGGTATTTGCAAAATGATAGACAAATAGCAAGAAATAAAATTGAGAGCCCAGACATAAACCCTTACATGTGTTCTACTGATTTTTCTGAAGCAAAACATCAGTGCACTTTAGCCCCACGCAATGATCACGTCCATCAAGAGAATCCGCACCTGTACGTGACGCATCTGGCTGTGGCTGCTGCTTTTCCCCATCCTCCCCCTCAGCTCCCTTCTCCTCATTTACAAAAGGTTTTTTGTACATT